TCAATAATTGACACCCTAGTTAACTTATTGAGCGAGAATAATGTACATTTTTTCATTTCATCCATCCATCTTATGATATAGGCAATAATGGTGTTAACCTATATGAAGGACGTTCCCCCAAAGTCCTTCGAAAGACTTCACTAGTCCGGGAGAGGTGTTACCTTAGGCCTCAGAGAATGATACTTTGGAGGAAACTCAAAATATGGAGTACAGAGTATAAGATTGAGTATTAATTCGCTCACGGATGTAACCAGCCACTAGTGGATGATCTAGTGATGCTTTTTAGTACTAGTAGTAGTGTGGAGGCCTAACAGGGATCTATGCTCCTAGATTTCCCTGAAACTCGGTTCTCAATGTAATCATGTAAGCCTTGTGGTTTTGCTACTTAGAGATCAGCTCCTTAGCCAATGCTATTTTGTAATGGTTTTGGTCTATCCTGAGTTCATTGTTTTCGAATGGCTTCATCGTGATGGGGAGGGGAAAGTGGAGATTAGAATCCCACCTATGTAGAGCTAAGCAGGGGATCCTCGCTAGCACCGACCCGCAGACACTTCGGCTTGAGCTGAGTCCACGTAATTGTACCCTCCAGGAAGAAAAAATATCCCTACTTCCAAGCGGGTTGTAATCGAAACAAGAGGCAGAAATTTGGCTCATTGTGTGCTCGTGCTGCACATAGGCCTCATAGCAATGTTCAGTCACACATGTTTATTCGCTAATGTCTCGCTTCCCTTGACATATACACATCTATTACTGCTTTGGAAAAGCATCATGATCGATTATCATTGACTTCTACATATATGTCCACCGTTTTTCTGACCCCATCAACCGGTGGCTGATCCTCTGTCAGCCCTCTAGTGCTTTCCGTACTCTCCGCATCATCCCTGTTTCTGCGAATTGTATCATCCTGTATGGTACACAGTCCGTTTTGTGTCGTATCAAATCTAGAGAACAACTCAGTAGCTCGGAAGCCTGGAAACAAAGCAGAACGTCTTCTCGCCCGAGAGCTGTAGCCACCTTGATTCCCGGATTTGGTTCTGGAACCTGTGGCTCCTTGAGTGGTGCTGAGTTCGATCTCGGACATATGGACGCCATTAAACCCGGTTTTGAGGTTGCTGAGGATGCGATAGACCGAAGGCATGCAAGCTGCTATGATGCTGAGGTACATAAGTAGTCTGCGATGTTCTAACATTAGCTGCGACCGAATAGGGTGCGATAAAGATCCTTCTCTCACTCGTTGCAAATGTCCACATTAACAATTGTCCCTGTGAAATGAATGTTAATGTTCTGCTGCCTTTGCCGCGTTGAGCGTCCGGAAACTCTTACATGTTGGATCAGATGAATGTAGATATGTCGGAAGATACACGAGTTCAGTGATACTGACCGCCACCACACTTCAGGATCATTAGTCTGCATTCAGCCACAAATATTTGGAAGGACCCAGTTCTCTTACACAAGTCTTGTGGCAAATGAAGCGATGATTTGAAGACGCTTTTGCAATGTCATTTGCACGCTCCAAATCATAATCAGTGGAATCACCACCAATGCCAAGTCTGTGAGGATGTTGATGATAATGATTGGATAGTTAATAGCGCCCTGAATATGGTTAGGTAGAAATAATTTATACGATCACGAATCTTACCTGCCCGGCACACTGGCTAGGTAGATACTCCCAGTGCGGTCGGCATTGAAGAGCCGTGGCAAAAAGTGCAAACACAGTCCATAGGCCGACAACTATGATGTTCATCATGTTGGCTCGTCTGATGCGCTGACCTGGTGTGAGCCTGTGAATCAATCGACAAGTGGACAGCTTTGAAAGGGAAAGGACAGGAATAAGAAGTAATTGAGCGGCATAGGTGAGCTGATACAAGCAACGAACAAGTAAGCATTAGGATCTATACCAGTAACTGGAGGAAACACAGCTAACCTTGTTGTACTTGGAGAAGTCAGCAGTGGAAAGAGAAGATGCATGTTTCCCGAGCCCATGGTCAACTGCAAATTGAGTAAGTAGAGTTTGAATGAAGGCAATAATCTAGCAATAGAAGCTATTAGTCGTGCTCTCGGAGGGCAAAGCGGGTTTTCTACTAAAGCAATCCACAGAGGTGCATCTGTGCTTAAGAGCACAGTCTTCGAATATAAGGCAGTTCCAAATTTGATGGCAACGATGATCAAAGTCACGAAGAAAAAGGCAAAAGCCACGAGTGTAATTGCTGGGCCTCTGTTATAAGGTGTTATTATTCCCAAGGGTGGTAGAAGCTCAGATGATGATGATGATGGCATGGCCAAGATAACATGCTAGAAAGAGCACTCTCAACATCGATGGTTCAAGGAGAAGCAGACAAATTGGGAACCAGCAGGAATTCTTACTACCTCCATATATAAATGCTCAATGTTACATCAACGCTAAGGCTGACAGGGATATGGTTCATTTACTACTGGTAAGAGTTTGCCATAACTGCAGGGTTTTGTTGGTTTCACGAACCTAGTAAATATGTTAATCACTATATAATAAACCAACAACAAAGGCAGCTTTGGAGCACCGGTCTAGATCAATCTGCACTATGCGTAGTACTCAGCCCAGACATACATTAAAAAGATAGTATCTGGGCCTATGTGAACGCGCAATCAGTGTCGGTAGCGTAGCAATGAGAGACAAAAGGATAGAATCCCTGTTTAGTTCACATACCAGTCTGGCACTAATTCGGGACGGTGGCTACCACCTACAGTAGCTAAAGCCGCCGGCCGGTTACGATCAGGGATTAATATATCGCCCATGCTTAGTTACATCGCATAGAGCAATTAGTTGCGTCCACTAATTGTCGTAAATGCAAAGCTATCCCGCTCGGTTTGTGTGTTCTGTGTTTTCTTTTCTATCCTTGACATCCTGTTGTTTTGCTTTTTCTACTGGCTTAACGTCTTGAAACAAGCATCTACCCTATCTAGCACGTTTTCTTTTGATAATTGCGAATCATGGAATACGACAATAATTCAGTAGGGCTGTCTAGTCCCGCAAAAGGGCCTCATGCGATGAGCATAGAAGATCCCCCGCCCCCATCTTCTTATCAGTATCGAGGGAAGCCACGGCTTGAGGTGAGCAAACAATTTCTATATTACTTGAAACCTAATTCTCTCACTGAGCGCTATTGTATTTCAGAGATATCTCGGTTTTCTACCTATGCTAGCATTTGCCGCAACCCTACAAGCATCATGGGAATCTCTAGGATCTAGTCTTCAAGCAGGACTGTTGAATGGTGGCCCAGTCGCAATTGTCTATGGCATGCTCCTATCCTTCGCTGGCTCCCTATGCTTGACATTGTCTATGGCAGAGATGGCATCGATGTAAGCATGGATTCCTACGACGAGAACATCCATCATGTGTCACAATGTGTTTCTTCTAACCGCTGTACACAGAAATCCCGTTGCCGGTGCTCAGTATCACTGGACGTATGAGCTCGCGCCATTTGCACCTCGCTTCTTAAGCTTCATCCAAGGTGAGTTACTCCCCTTTCTGAGAAAAAGCTTCGATTTCAATGGCTAATACGTGATTTCACCATGACAGGCTGGGTCACGGTAAGCCTCCAGTAAACCGATATTGAAGTTGACAATGAACACTTCCTAATCAGACACCAATTCGTGAATAGGTCATAGCATGGTGGGCCAATGTCGCCGTTGGGCCATACCTAGTCGGCACTGAGATCCAAGGACTACTTGTGCAGAACTACCCTTCCTACGAGCCGGAAGGATGGCATGGGACTCTTTTAGTATTTGCAGTGCTCTTCCTGCCCTTGTTGGTCAACATCTTTGCGCGCCGCCTCTTAGCGCCAGTCGAAGTGCTATCAGGTGTCATCCATATCCTATCATACCCGGCCATTATGGTCGTCATGATTGTCTTAGGGCAACGGCACACAAATGAGTTTGTGTGGACTGAATTCGTCACCGATCAGAGTGGATGGCACAACAAGGGAGTGATCTACTCGATTGGATTGCTAACAGCGGCGTTCACCCTAAGTAGTCAGTCTTTCTTGCCCATCCACGATTTCTCAACATGCTAACCTTCGAAAATCTTCAAACAGGCTTCGACGGCGTCATCCACATGTCCGAAGAAGTCAACGACGCACCCAGAGCCGTCCCCCGCTCAATGGTCTGGGGATTATGCGTGAACGCCGTCCTTGCCTTCGGCTTCGCCATAGCCCTACTATACACCATGGGCGACTTCCAGAAAGCCCTCGACTCCCCGACAGGATACCCCATCATTGAGATATTCTACGCACAAACCGGATCAAAAGCAGCATCCAGCGCCATGATGCTCCCGATCCTCCTCTCCGGCTGCTACTCCTCCTTCAACGTCCTAGCATCAGTCAGTCGGCTCACATGGGCGTTTGCTCGCGACGAGGGATTCCCCTTCTCATCGTTCTTCGCACATGTATCACCTCGATACAAGATCCCCCTGCGATCTCTTTTCCTAGTGACGACAATCACCGTCCTTATTGCCTTAATCAACATTGGTTCTTCGGCGGCGTTCAATGCCGTCTTGTCGCTGGACACTCTCGCCCTTTATATCTCCTATTTGGTCCCGATTCTGTTCATGCTGATCAAGCGGGTTCGCTTTCCGGGAGAGATCCGCTTTGGCCCGTTTAACTTGGGGAGGTTCGGGGTTCCGATTAATACTTTTGCCATGCTGTACGGTACTTATATTACGATATTCCTTCCGTGGCCTGAAACTCAACCCGTCACGGCGAGCGGCATGAATTATGGTGCTCCGGTTTTTGGCGTCGCTCTGTTATTCGCGGTGATTGACTGGTTTGTTCGAGGACATAAGAAGTGGAATGGGCCCACAGTTATGACGGCGCCAAAGTAGCGCTAACGGGCTGTTGATTAAGGGATGGGAGCATCCTAGTGGGATATATAGTGTGGGCGGGGATGGGTTGAGACGTCTGCGACGGATGATAACCACTTAGTACTACTGGGTTTCGATTTCAGTTCTCTTTCAAAAGTGGGTTGTATGCTTGCATGCTGATAGGATAGCCATGATGATGATGACATGTCTAAAGATGACACAAAATAGACGATTATTTGTTCCAGCGTCCATCACAGAGTAGCTAGGACGATCTGGTCTCAGCAACCAATTCCGCGCGATTCAAAAATCTAGTTATCATGCAAGGAGTCTCAGACTCTTTAGAAAATATATACATCTTTAAAAAGCGCCCAGTAAATATGCCAGATATTCCTCACATTATGAACAAATGTTCCCCTATATCTACCACTTCGCCTCCTTACGGCCCTGGAACTCCTTCAGGATGGCGACGTTCTTCTCAAGAGCCACCACCTCGGCGTTCAGGGACTCGTTAACCTTAGCCTGGTCCTCACCAAGCTTGGCGTAGAAGTCCTTACGGTAAGGGGTAGCCGACATAGCAGCAGAGAAGATGGGCTTGATAACGAAGGAGTGGTGGGGCTTGAGGGTGTTGCCGTAGGCTTCACGGAAGGAGTCGGACAGCTCGGTGCTGCCGTTGTTCAGGTTGTGGCGGAGGGCCTGGGCGGTGAAGTCAAGACCTCTGTAGCACAGGACAAATTGTATATTAGCATGTGTAACTCAAGTGGCATGTATACAACGACTCAATAGCCGCTGAAACCCAGTGGGGTGGGGGAAGCTGGGTAGATGGACATACCTGACAAGCCAGAGCAGACCTTCAGAAGCGACGTGCTTCTTGGTCTTCAACTCGTTGATAACAAGAGCCTGGAGAGTCTCAGACTCAGCGGGGGCAGCCAGCTGCCTCTCCCTGACTTTCTATGATAGAAGGTAAGCTTCCGATAGCATCTGACTGCGGGGTACTATGTATGTTCGAACCTTGATGTTGTTGGTCAGATCACTCTTGACAGGAGTGAAAGCCTTGGAGCCGAGAACATCTGAATGAAGAGCATCAGCACTGCCACTTTATTATCAAGAGACGCGATCAATGGCATACCGAAAAGAGTGGTGAGAGACTCAGCAGCTTCAAGGAACTCAGTGGTCGAGATGCCGTTGTCGTTGGCAGCATCGATCTTGACGTCCGCGAAGGACCTCTTCTGTTCGTCGAACCAGGTAGCAGGCATGATGTCTAATGAAGATGATAAAGTCTAACAAAGGTAGAGAGCAAATATGCGAAGAGGAAGTGAGCGATTTAAATAGATACAATCAGGGGGTCCAGGGGAAGGAAAAGGCAACGTGGAGGGGAAGGCGGCAGTTTAACAACAACGACAGGCCGCCTGTCACTCTCTCCCACTCTCACACACCGCCGGAAGCGGGACACGCAAGCGGTGAGGCCAATCAGCGGGTCCATTGCCCCTGATCAATCTATCCTTAGGTAAGACACGGCACAAACAGTACAAACTCCCTCTGCGCGGTCACGGGATGGGTAGCGACGTCATCGTGTCTGTTGGCCTGCTTTGTATACCCTGACTTGTCTACTCTTTAGAAGCTTCATCCTAGGCAAAAATGTCAGCGATAATAAGTGTATTAACCTATATAGTCTATATGCACATTGTAGCCTGATTGGTGGTGAGGCGTAGCTCTAGGATTGTATGTTGGAACCTCTACTCGTAGGAAGCAAAGAAAGGGCAGAGAGTTGTATATGTTGTGTTCCTATCTAGGGGTTGCGCAGCGAGGCGCGTAGAAGTAGGGGTTGTATGGTATGTAGGGGTCACGTGACCGAGGCTACTAGTATTACTGCTTCAACATTGTATACTATGTGACGGCTGTTACGGATGTCGCAAAGTTAAGATGTTATTGCGATGGTCAATTTACTACCCTGGTATCACGGACCCCTTCAAAACAGTTTACTTCGCGCTCTTTGAATGAATTGTCAAGTAGCACATAAAGCATGTCATCATTAGGAGGGAAAAGACTACTTAAAGACAAAACAATGCTGCCGAGAAGTGAAAGCTCAGTCGTAGAGACATGCCACATACCAGGATGATATCTCATTAAAACCGCGCTGCATGTCGATAAGCGCTACCCATTAATCAATCCCTTCAACGCCAAGCTCAAAGCATACGTTGCATCACTCAATGCATTGACTATCTCATGATCGGCTTGGAGCCAGGCGACTACCAATCCTTTGCCAGCACACTGTCTGAAGCGTTGGAACCGTCCATCTCAATGATCCCACTGGACTGAACGCTCTGCACATCAGTCGCAGAGGGAGGCCTATCAACCTCAACCGGCTCGTCGTCCAGTTTCTCCGTGCGGCCATCTTCCGATCTGTCAACCTCCTCCCAGTCATCGTCAGATCTGATAGAGAAATCCTCCATGTAGCTTCTACCGCTACGTTCGGTCTGGTCCGCGTTAACCTTTTGCTTCTTAGTCTCCGGTTCTCCGTTCAAGGCAGGATCAACGGTCGGTGGGTCGGGAAGCTTTGCTGCGAGCATCTCCGCCGATTTCGAAGACTCACCGTCAGATTCGAGTTGAGATTCGCGGTCGCTGCTGGCGCTAGGGGCACCCTGATCTTCTGGAGGGAAGAACAAGCTACTACTGTTAGCCATACCAATGCAACCAATATATCCAGGGCAAGTCATGACTCACGGAGTAAACTTCTCGTAGGCTATCTCATCCTTGCGCTCAAAGTTGCAGAAGATGATCCGTTCTAGTTTCCCAATGTTGCTCGGAATATCCATGAACTTCCGTGTCTCGTCGAGGACGACACGGGCAGCTACTTCGCTTGGATAGCCGTACACGCCTGTGCTGATTGCCGAAAAGGCAATGCTTTTCATGTTGTTCTCCACGGCAACCTCCAGACTACGACGATAGCAGCTGCGCAGCAGAGACTCCGGGCGCTCCCTCCCTCTTTGCAATTCAAGATCATAGATAGGCCCAACAGTATGAATGACTCGTTTGCACGGAAGGTCATATGCAGAGGTTATCTTGGCATCACCGGTATCACAGCCATCAAGGGTGCGGCATTCTTCCAGCAGACCAGGTCCGGCGGCGCGGTGAATGACACCATCTACTCCACCTCCTCCAAGTAGAGACTTGTTGGCTGCATTCACGATACAGTCGATCCCATCCAATTTTGTGATGTCGTTGCGGATTAGAGAGATGGTGTCGTTCAAAGCCTTGGAAGGCTGCGCGAGCGGGGAGGAGACTGGAACCAGGCGCTTGAGTTTGTATAGAAGGGAAACGGTCGGAATCTCAGCGAGGGGCACAAGTGGAGGAGCCATTTTTAGGCAGGCAACTGGTTAGGTAGATCAATTCAGTAGTGTGAATAATTGAAGCAGATGATGACAAGTTGGTTGACAGTAAACTGAACACTCGCCACAGAATGTGCTCTGGCTTAATTAGATTTTCTTGTCGTATCGTGAGCTTCAATTCGTGAATGTCTCGTAACTGGCATTAAGCAGTGATGTAACAAAGATGATGACGATGATGATGGTGATGGACTGGAACTTGATGTGTTACTACAAGTAGTTGTTGGCAAAGGAGGGGAGCGCGACTGCACGTGATGGCACTGCGATACCCTTTATCTTATCGGAGGTGTTCTGAAAGCGGTAATGCTCGCATGTGATCATGGGCTGTCAACCAGATAACAGTTGCCCAGTATAATAATGGATGAAACTCTACAATTATGCCATTGTCTATTCGATTAGTGACGTTCTGATCTAGATTCGTTAATGGAAGCGTATACTAGTGTCGTCCGCCCAGTAATCCATCATTATCACCAAGAAAGTCACAGCAGCAGTGGGTTGTTAGCTACTAATGGGGAACTGCTTACTTTACCTTCAAGAAAGATTTAGGAACCCTAGTTATTGCTTAATTGTCACCTTCTAGTATTGGAATATAATACTCTACAAGTAATATTCCAAACATATAATCGAGCCTGTTTTAAGCGCCTTCCAGGTGTCTTCCACAAACCTTCTAATCATACCTGGCATTCACGCTGCACGCGACTACTGCCATTGATGAAAATTGCATAAATTCCCATAGAGCAAATATTACTACTCTGAATCAACAGACACATCATAGCGGTATTAGTCTCAACCAGCGATGGCACGATCTCAGTTAATTGACGTTGACAACCCTCATAATTTAACCGAAGCCAATAATTGCCAAAGGAGCAGCAGCAGCAAGGAGCTCTGCTGTGCAACATAAGGAAACGCCAGGCAAGGACGCAGACCATGATAAGGAAAAGCGGAGTACGTAGTGTATTCAACCCCAATACATGACATGATAATAAGATGTCAACATGTCAGAATGATAGATAATAATGCACATCGGCATGATCGGAGCTGTCATGATGTCAATCAACCAACCTGACAACATCGCACTACTTACCCCATACATAGATAATGTTAATCTATGACTCGGTCCGAGCGCCCTTGCGCCACCACCCACCCTTGAGCTTCTTTTACCCCAATATCTTACCTATCCCAACCGATATGACTCGTAGAGTATACAACGCACACAAGGCGGCATGTAATGCAATCATATAAGTGCAATAGCTGACAGATAGAAAGAAGCCACGATCTTGCAATCTCATGACCGTGATTGGACCAGCCTTGAGCGAGGCGAGCTAATGCAAGGGCGCGCGCGCGCCCGCCGACTGGCGAACACGCGATAGTTGTTCCATCGATCAGAGATCGAGGTCATGAACCAAACCAAATCATGATGGCATGAGCGCAAGTAGTATTACCTTTATTGGCCAAATTTTATATTGTCCACCTAACACAAAACCAAGCCAATATCTAGATACCTGGTTATAATGCAACAGTTGGTAAGTATGAGTAAGTTAGCCACCGGATAAGTCCCAGCGTCTCGGTTCTATATCCCGGTCACTGTATTCCATGCATATAATGGTTTTTGCATGGGAAATTCTCAATCTGGTTATTGTTTGGATGAAACAGATCGGGACTACTCTCCGATCTCCCTACAGTACTCCACAGCCTGGGTATGTACCGCCGGTGGTCGGTCGAGCTGCATCGGCCGCTGCTTGTTGCTCTATGCTATTCTCTGGTTGATAAGCATAAGCGAAACTTGACTAGCAGGGGTCCCTGTGCATGGAGGACGCTGTCTGGAAGTCATGTACATATGTTAGTCAGTTGCCTTTCCCGTTGCCTTTTTCTTTTCTCGATCGTTGAGGGTGAGGGATAAGCAAAGACAAGGATATGTTATGCTGAATGACAACTTGAAGTGCTTCTCAACATGACAGCTGTCATGATTGCCTTACAAAGACACAATAAAATCATTTTAGGCAGTTGTTCAGTCTCAGAAAAGATGCGACCATAACATTTTAATTACGTATAATTTACTATGACTAAGATGAGGAGGGCCCAGAACGAGACAGACCATACTGGAAGGTATTATGTTCAATTATAAAACCGCCCACATCGGGAGTAAATTACTGCGAAAAGTAAGTAGGCTATATGTTCAGCGACGTTAAGAAACTAAAACTCTTTAAAAAGTGATTGAAGGAATACTAGAACTAAGAAAAGTAAGGAGCGACGGACGAACTTACCGAAACGCAGAGAAAAAAAAAGAAAAAAAAAAAAAGCAAAGAAAAGGTCTTGTAATATTCTTCCCTCTTGGGAAAAGGCCTGCTGCAGTGAGTGAGTGAGTAAGAATCAGATAGGTTGTTCTGCGCTGCAAGAATGCGGTAACTACACCCCGCCCCTTCTGCTGAGACATCGCAGCGATCTCGATCAGCGCGATCTTAAAAACTTTCCCTAAACTGTCTTGTTCCCGGTGAAAGTGGGGCCATAGGTTCATCGCGCCCTTGTGCACCGTAGCACAACATACCATGAGATCGCGAACCCAATTCCAAATTCAAATTCCCTTGTTGGGGAAAGAAGATTTGATCAAAAATTGAGGGGATAGACCAAAACACCATTACAAAAGGGCAAGAAAAGAATTTTTTTTCGTAAATTTTCTTTCTTTCTTTCTTTCTTTCTTCTCCTCAATTATCACCCTCCTTCCAATTCCCCTCTAGCGGTGATGCTTGGCTTGCGAATTCTTCATGCTTAAAGTAGTACCCCATCTAAAATTTAAGATGGCCAAGCGCCTTCCATTACGGTTCTTTGTTCCATCCAGTCAGCGGGGTTATCCGCGGTGGGGCTATGTGCAGGAAAACCCATTTGGTCGAGATCTGATGTCTTGTCCATCGAGCCACCATCGCACGCTAGTCGGGAACCCAAGATGAGTGTTACCTCTCATCCCGTGGGATCGCTTGTTCTAACCCTCATTTGGTAAAAGCTCCATGCTGCTGACCGATAGATCGTAGCACTGCCCGGTTTTGAAGACGGGGGAAAGCAAAACAAAGCGTAAAAAAAAATAAAAAAGTCTAGGTTCGATTTGTCGATAGTTTGGGGAGGGAACGGACGGGACCCGCGGGCTACGATTGCGATGGAAGAGGAAAGGATACGACGGGACCTAAACTTAGGTAATACAAGTTTCAAGATAACCAGTGTGGATATCATTGGGAGGGGTGGAAGGAAATTGGGAAATCCTTGCGAAGCTCTTACTAGAAAAAGCAACATCCGTATGGGAACTGGGGAGTCAACGTAACTGGGGAAACTATAGGACCACAATTGGAAGCAAAGAACCATTCAGGAGGAATAGTGAGACATTTGAAATTTCAAATCTTGAGATGGGGTTGGGAAGAGAAAAAAAAAAAGAGGCCTAGGTATTGTTATCCACCCACAACCCGCTCAGTCTGCACTTCTTACGTGCATACTTGCAGGAGGCTTTTCCTAAGGCATCCTAGCAGCTTGAGTTAGGCAGCCGTGCATTCCGGTCTCCCTCCCGGTCTGATTTTTATTTTTGTTTTTATAACTTCCCCCCCTCGTGTTCATAAGTCATGGCTTGTGGTCTCAGAAAAATAGTATGAGGGGCGCACTGCTGGCTGAGTTGGCATTTATCCATTCCAGGAACTAAGTGAGATTTAGTCTATCCATAGATGTGGTGTCCTTTGGGTCATGATAGGATAGAGTAACTTGGTAACTTGGTTAAGTAGTAGGCTGGGGCCCGATTAACGAGTTCCGTTCTTGGGTCGCATGAATCGCACCACTAGATACCTTAAAAACTAAAGCCCCGTCCCACCAATCGCATTCCAACGCCTCGATTGACACGAGGCGTAAGACTACTAGTAGATACACGCAAACCTGCAGATACAAGTACGTATGAAGGTCTAGTATGTAACAATGGATGCATGTAAGGTCAGTTACATACACACTCCGCTACAACTCCAATACATCCTTCTTATTTTTTACTTTCTTGTACATACAGCATACATGATTTACCTAACGCAGGGTTACGCTGCTGCATGGCAAGTGCACATATGAGCATACAGTATGCACGGAGCAGGAATGTAATATTCAGTTAATCTGACTGTTCTGCTTGGGATACATCAGTTGTTCAAGTCAAGTCTCATGCAGACCAAGTAGAGCGCTGCCGAAAAAAAAAAAAAAAAAAAAAAAAAAAAAAGTTTTTCCAACACTACACCGAGGCATCATGCAAAAAGGCGATGCGTATGTCAAGTTTGACTATTGCTGTCGTGTAACAGCGGACTCATGTTCTGATATATGCCCGATCATGAAGTGTCAATGTCCTTTATCAAAGACCTAATGCCTATAGTACGTGCCATGGAGGGGCGTACCTACATGATAGTGATGGGGACGTCATGTTTCACAGCATAAATAACATCGGGCCTCCAAATCAGACAAGACTGGCGTATGTAATACGCAGGACAGGGGTCTGGTATGGATGTATGTATGTATGCGAGCAGGTATTCGCATACAGGGGCGTATGCATCGAGATACCGACTATTACCTACTACCATTACTTAGTAACAGCCAAAATCAGTTCTAACGAGAATCGGTGAGGCTTAATGCTGGCGAGGATTTGGGGCGCACGCGACCAACGGAGTACAGGCCCACCGCGCCCACCGAAATAGCATACGACGCTCATGCTGACGGTGGGTATTCTTGGTGGCTGTATGGGGTAGGAAGGGAGTTCGAGAAGCTGCAATCCCAAGATTTGTTACCTCCGGATACTACCAATAAAACTTTCCGGACTTTACTTGCGCCTCATAGCGCTGTCACCTATCAGATTCCGATGCTTCAGGACCATCGATCCACCCAGGGATGTATTCCGATCGTGGATGATGGGAATGTTCTAGTAAGTAGTAGTTAAGTGGTTCGTGACCTTGCGTAAGCCAAAATAGCTGGCTATGGCCTGGACCACACCGGGACACGGCGGAAGTCAAAAGAGAATCTTGGGTGACAATCAGGAACCAGCACGAATGCGAATATGTCGATCTGGCCCAACGATCCAAAGAGAGTGGGCGGGCAAGGCCCTTGGTTGGAGTCCGCGAACTGTGGGCTCGATAAGGGACATCTCCCGATCGACCCAGACATCGGCCCTTATCGCCGATCAATGGAAGGAGGGAATGTATGCCATTGTAATATTTTTTTTTGAACCGACGATCTCAGGTCTCAAGTAGGTCTGCTTCTTCAAGACTGGCTTCGGTGTCAATTGGAGAAGTCAATTATTGATGCCTTTGTGTGAAAAAAGCCAAGGGTGTCAGCCTGGGACACAGTGGGCTACTGCCCAAGGACAACGTGTTATTATGAGAAAGCCCTTCAGACCCGCTTGGCATGAGACTAATCAGGGCCAACTTCCACAAGCAGCCTATGGGTTGTCTCGAGGAAAACACAAAAGTCCTCCCAGTTGCATGATTGCTGCTCAAATCGGAGTACACACGAATTGTGAGGCAGTGGAAAAGAGACGATTTTCCTTCTTTCTCCCCCTCTCTGTCTCTGTGTATGTTGTGTATGCGAGCGGGCTGACAAGTTTCAGCGACTGTAACAGAAAGTTCTGTGAGATCAGATGATAGTTCTGCAAAGATGACCCATCGAGACACTCTAACTTGTAAGGCAATTCATGAGGCTACCACAGCAACCACCCTTATGTCATAAAGTGAGCTTGTATGCACGGGCAGGATCCGTAGATAGTGCACCTAAGGATTGCATCATGCAGACACAGAACGAGACAAGAAACGGAAGATCGGTATGTCGATGCCTTTACGGCCAGCAGTACTGACAGAGTGGTTGCAGTGGGCCTGTAGTGAGACACTATGTTACTGAACCGAATAGACTGCCTATGTATAGAAGGAGTTACTTACGGAGTATATACAGGTGGGAAAACAGTACGTACCTTGGGTTTACATACTATACATACTGTACGTTGTGCCAATCAAGGGCGGCGCTATGCATGATCTTCTCGGAAGCAGCGGGAGCACATGACACAAGATTTTATAAGATACTAATTCCAAAAATGACATCGAGTATCATCTTAGCCTAACTTACTTACATACTAGTCAGTTATGAGTTAATTTCGGAGTTCGGAGCCCTCCAAAGAACATCGTTGAATCGAGAATATTCTTTCCCTGACTCAAATAAGATTAACTTATATTGAGTAGTTTTTTCGCTCAGCCTCCCATGACGTAACCTCGATTCGTCCGATCGGTCGGATCTTGGGGGGCACAGATGCAGTGGAATTTGGCACCCGAGATTTCGTCCGTGAGACAACTTGAACAAGGGTTCTGTTGGGTGTGTAGTGGCGATTAATTAATTAATCTATCAGGCTTACTTTATCGGGCACCGGCGGCGACGGCCGAGGGAAGCACTTTTAAACGGTATGGAGGCTGGGCCACTTTAATCTCAGATTTGATAGATGTGTGGCATGATCGTGATCGAGAACTAGCCAATGGAAAAGTCGCGTCGGACGTGGAGACACGGCCTGTAGATTAATTCCAAATCAACCTACGGACCTTTTTTTCTTTTTTTTCCTTTTTTTTTTTTTTCTTTTACATGGGATGATTTTCCATATGCAACTTTTGACCATGTACTCATCTAGTTGTATTCGGTAATATTATGGGAAAATGGCAATAGTTCTTGCAGCTGACTGATTACCATGTCACACGGCGAAGACGGTCTTAAAAGGAGAGTTTGATGGCATCTCTAGACAAACTATCTGTCCGTAGTTGAACAGACATCATAGGTACTATCTGCTGGTGCGATTTCACTGAGTGCCAATACTTTGGGTCCGCTACAAAAAGGGGAGTGAGTAGTGGTTCATTGGAAGGTCGAAGTTTCTCGGATGAATGACAGATTCTGTGAACTCTTCCATATGCAGACTATTGAAGACTATCTGATTTAGCCTATCGATAGAAAATATGCGGATACCAAAACAATCTCCGGGCCATTATTAGGAAGACCTGTCCAAGCCAGCCCGCGGAAATGGTTGCACCTGACCTCACAAGAAGGTGAGTGAGAGGCGTTCGAGGCGGTAAGCAGGATGCCGGGGATGAATTGGCGGTGAGAGGGGGGTGTGTACAGGATAAGATCTTAAAGCAACCATTAGCCACCGCCTTCTGTATGCACTCAGCATATCTAGTCTAGGTATCTACATGAGGTGCGTCATCCCGGGGCCAGGAAGGTAGCCAATGTTTTGCTACTACTACAGTACGACTAAGAGTAGTTGCAGGAACAATTGACTCAGTAGTGAGTAGTTGGTTTTCGAGAACCCCTGCAAGATGAGACAAGATGAGATCGGATCGGTTCGATCGTTCGGGGTAGCGCAAGTACCACATAATCTGACAGCACTCGATCCAAACAGAACCCTGGCATGATTTGTTTTACCATTTACTGAACTGATATTTGCCAGGAAACATGGGCGCTAGTGAACCTGAAGTTATTCAGAGAGTTGTCGGGCGAGTAAGGGAAATAGCTCGGCGTAGGCTACTCCGTATCTCGTGTGCCAGAGCCACAGAGTCAGACATGGTACAAACTTGGAGGGCTTTCTGGTTGCTTCCAGCCCTCAGCGGGTTCTCCCCCGACCGTGCTGCTCATTGGTTACATGTGGGTCGGCCGAAAGCAAACTTAAGTAATCAATGTTTTGTAGGCCCAATTTGGTAATCAGTTTCGGTTCACTGATCCCGCCTTCCACTGTTGTCCCCAAAAGCAATCTTTATTCAAATTGACCGATCCAAGAGACTTTGTGTATATGATTTACGGAACGGAAAAGGTATGGAAGCCTATAGACGCCACTTAAATGCATCATAGGGGCGTCGAAGTTGTGACTAGCGCAGGATCATCACCAATCGGGGTCATGCCGGTTAAACTATAGAACGCCCTGAATCAACACGTTGGTACGCTACAGAAAGGGCCAAAGAAGCAATGCCCGAGTTTATCTTGCCTAGCCCCTGGCTCCCAACCATTGCCACAACTCCGTGGGCAGTGGTGGCCAAAGGTACCGGCGACTAGATCCCGGGGCGTGGGAGAGCCATGTAATCAAGCGCTATTGCCCCTTCGTCGCTTGCGCCTCAATAGTGCAGGCTAAGACTAAAGGATCCGTGGATAGCTACTGCTCGGACTGCATTATTGAATTGGTATTTCTCGCCTTCATAGCCGCCTTACTGAATGAAGCTTTATTTTTCCTCATAGCAGATACTAGATGCATAGGTCATCTCTCAATGACAAATCATTTATTATAGTAAGAATGTATAGTAAAATTTTTAGTAGAAAAGAAGAAAAAAACTATCTTTACACTTTAGTCATAACACGGAGGCAGTAGACCCTCTTCAATTTTCAACGACAGACATGAGTGCATGAACATCATATAGGCACATCTGGAGGTAATTGCAATTCCCAAGCAAGCAGCAGGACATTGGTAGGAAACGGGGGGTATAATTGTAAACCAGAGCAAAGACAGCAAGTAGCATAATACCAAAGACAAGCGGCGCGTAAGAAAAATTCAACAAAAGGTTAGGGTGCACACAAGCCAGTTGCACAAGGTTGATGGAACGGAGTAAAGATTAAAGCCACCAAAATATGACGAGGCGGGGTTTGGGGGGGAAGTGGGATAAGGAGGGAAAAAGGAAGAAAAAAAAGGAACTGGAGAAAACAGCAAAAAAAATCTATCGGAATACCTTTTCCCACAACGTGCAAGGGGTATTAGAAGGTAATTCAAGGGACCAATGGGACCAAACCAAATCAAGTCCGCATGCCCGGAGTTTTCGTGATCATCCAAACCATCCGAAAGGAAAACCTTGACCCTGAAGCAGATCAAACGAGGACCAAAACGAAGCCAACACTAGGTAATGATCAAAAGTGAAAACAGGACTCAAAACGCCTGACACTTCTAGTCCCATGCCGTTCCAACGCCACATAAATTAAGAGGCTAATAAGTTAATGGCTACTCGGTGATGCGGAGTCCAGGGCAGTCTTGGGCTTCAAATTTGAACCCAAGGATGATGCCTTGTTCGCGCCCATCTTCCGAGTTAATTTTGCATAATGCAAGCCGCACGCATTACACAAAGTCCGGGCACCGTCGGGTCCACGGCGCCATTCCGGTGTTTCGGCTCGGTTGCAACTGTGGCAACGACCGGGAGGGGCAGCTTTCTGTACGAGCGCCGCTGTTAGCGATGGCAAAAGTAGAAGTGGGTATGCTTGTGAAGAAATTGGGGGGCGAGGGGTAATCCCTTAGTAAACGGGATCAGGGGGCAAGAGGAAAAATAAGAACGGAATGGGAAACAACGGAAAGAGAAATTATCCAGAATAGACGTACCCCTCGTCGTTTTTTGGAATCAGGGCCAGCGAACCCGCCACTGCCCTTGTATTCCTCCTGGTACATTGCCATGTGGTGGACATCGTCATGCACCCCACCGGCTTTGAAAGCCTTTCTTTGAGCCATCTGTTCTGCCAGTGCATGTTCCTGGTTCAAGATCGCTGTCCGTATGCGAATTAGAGCATCCTGATTATGACGCTGTATGTTGAGCATCTCCTCAACTTCATGGATCGAGGGCAGAGAACCCAAGACAGGGCCAGAACGCTGAGTGTGGTGCGCCCTTGCCGCATAGTGCCTGGAAAAATCCAAGGTTCTTGTGCTCATCTCGGCAATCTAGTATTATTAGCGATTTGGCACTTCATATCAAAGGACCAATTGGAGATTCAATTTTGATCCACTTGGTTCCATAGTAGAAAAACACATACCTCATTCAGAGACGTCTCCACATCGTAAATATCCAGGTGACGTTTAACAGAATCGCTTTGTGGTTGCCCCGCAATGGCTGGACGGGTCGCTAGACTCGGTTTTACATCGTCCACACGAGCAGTTTCTGGTACACCAGGTTTCCATGATGTCCCCGCATATGATCGAGCATCATAAGAAGTTGAAGCATACGTTGCTGCATTTGATGGGGGTTGCGGCTGGAATGAGAATGATTGCGAAAACGCACCATAACCATTAGGCGAGGCCACACTGCCGGCAGAAGGAGGCGCGCTGTACTCATAGCCAGAGCCAACTTGGGATCCGGAAATCGAAGTAATACCGGTCTTCGCGCTTTGAGTAGGTGACTTCCCAGAATTTAGTGATTGCAAGGACGCGTTCCTTGAATCCTGGGTGTTAATTGATGTCAAGCTTGACCTTGAGGCTTCCGCT